TGTGTGGGTCCGATTCTGGGCTCTCTATGCTGTTTCATTATCTATATGTCTATTATTCCACCAATTCACACAGAAATAGGTACGCAGATGTTTAAAGCAGCTGTCTTCATAATTACTCAAAATGGAAATAACTCAAATGTCCTTCAGTGGGTGAATAGATAAACAAGCTGTGGGCATCCATGCAGTGGAATACTACTCAGCAATAAAAAGGAATGAACTATTGATCCACGAAATAACTTGGATAAATTTCAAAGGCACTATGCTGAGTGAAAAACGCCAGTCTTGGAAGTGTCAATCAAATACAAGTTAGACTTTGATAGACTTAAACAGAAAGAAGTTTATTTGAGGTTCCTTAGGACCACAGCCTGGGAACAGAGATTCAAGTGCTACCTGAATTGTGTTCCAGCCATTCACAGGCGAGGGAAGGTTTTATAGTTGTGGCTACCAAAGGTAAAGAAAAAAAAAGGGAGAGGAAAGCCTTTATAACAAATTCTAGGTGCAAAGTACTCATTGGGGTGAGGGTTGGTTGAAACCAGCCATTAAAACTTAGGAATGCAGAAGATGACCCTGACGGGAATGAGGTCTCTGTCCTGATAATCTTGTCTTCCTTGAGAAGACTTGCAGATGCATTCCAGGCATCTGATGAGTTCAGAGTTCATCCTGAAGGAGGAATTTGTTGACTATAAAGAGACATCATAAGGGGATTTGGGGGTGATGGAACTGTTCTGCGTCCTGGTTGTGATAATGATTATGCAACTCTATACAAGTTATAATTCCTAGAATTATACGCCATAAGATCAACTTTATTGTATGATGATTTTTCTTTCTTTTTTTCTTTCGTTTTTGTTTTGATGAGGAAGTTTTGCCCTGAGCTAACATCCATTGCCAATCTTCCTCTTTTTCTTTTCTTTTCTTTTTTTTTTTTTTTGCTTGAGAAAGATTAGCCCCAACTAACGTCTGTGACTGTCTACTTCTACTTTGTATGTGGGATGCCTCCACAGCATGGCTGATGAGTGGAGTATGTCCTTGCCTCGGATCTGAACCTGTGAACGTGGGCCGCCAAAGCAGAGCGTGCAGAACTTTAACCATTCAGCCACGGGCCAGGCCCTCATTATATAATTTTTTTTTTTTTAAGAAAATTTGGAGGCAAAGCATAAAAGCTCACACTCCGGGAATCAACAGATCTGGTTTTCTTCATTCCATTCTTGGTTTCATGCTTCAATTTCTCTATCTTTAAGATGAAAGGTTTAGAGCCAGGCCACAAAAGGTCCTCCCTACTCTGATGTTCCTTCATTTCACAGATCTACAAACATTATCACATGTATATCTAGTTAGGTGCACACACACTCATGGTCCCATGCAAACAGATTTTGTCCCTATGTTACAATAGCCCAAGATCCCCTTATCCCAGAGCCCTCCCTCCCCTTAATCGTTCAGTGGTGTTTGTGGGACAGGCAGGAGGAGCTTGAGAGAGGTAGGGAAGAGAGGCTACCAAGCATGCTGGCCTGAAGCAGGGCCCAGCTGTCAACCTCTGTTAGACATGTTTCCAATGAAGCTCAGGGAATTCCTGATCCCTCCAGCATTCTCTTGTTGCTGGCCTGACCTGGCCTCCACATTCCTCTCCCCTCTCTGTGGGCTCTGAGCCAAGCTAAAAATCTCCATGGACTCTCAGGGTCCCAGAAGCCTAACAAGCTCTTGCAGAGGCTAGCTGCCAGCTTTGACTCTCAGAGGCGGTCTAAAGTTGCCTGAGAGGAAAATCTGACCTAGAAGAGTGTTTGAAGTCTGCTAGGATGATCCAGACCCCTAAACGTGGCTTTGTGTTGTGAGAAGAGCTCTGAACTAAACCAGATCTGAATGATGTGACTGTTCCAGAGATGCCTACTCACATGTAACCAGAAACTGCGTGCAACTGCCCAGCTCTGCTGGAAGGAGAGTAGATGCTCATCTGAAAAGTCATAACTGTAAGAGGACTTTGAGATTAACAAATCCATTCCCCTGGTTTTACAATTAGAAAACTATGATCTAGAGAGGGCTACAGACTTGCCTCAGGGGCTCAGGGAGCTGATAGTAGGGCTAGGACTAAACCAGGTGCCCTGGCCCAATTATCCACCCATTGCATACGCAGGGAAGGTGGAAAAGGAAGGAAACTGACCCTGAGTGTAGATCCTACCCAGATGTGTAGCAGAAGAAACTAAAGAATGACGTATAGGCGTGATGAGCTTTAAATACAGTCACCACATTCTGGTAAAACATGTGCAGTGTGACTCTGTCCATTCAGATGAACAAATCCTTCTTCATTGTTAATAAAGAAGAAAATAAGGGAGTGGAAAGGGACGTAAGCATTGAAGGGGGAAGCTGAACCTTCCCGCCTACACTTACTGCAAGCCACAAAGAAACCCAAAGTAATGTGAATCTATTGAGTGATTTGCAGAGGTACTACGCAGTTTGCCCCCTAGAAAGTGGAAACAGTTTTGAGATGCTTCCAGGTGTGCCACTATGTAGTCTTCAGGAGGTACAATTTCATTCTGCACCTTCTATGTAAATCCTCCATCATGAATCATGAATCATGCACGTGGAGGGCTGTCCCACCTTCATGATCGATTTCCAGGAGCAATGTTGGAGTGCTTTCCACCGTGGGTGGATAGACTCAGAGCCCCCTTACTGTTTGCATTTGCTCTGTGAGGTCTGAATCAGTCTAAGAAGGCAGGAGCGGGGATGGGAAGCAGCCTTTCATTTTACAGTTAGAGAGAAATCCCAAAGCACACATCCTGATGAGGCAGCACTTGGAAAGAAAGAGAAAGAACATGATGCCATTATCATTTACTCTGTTAATTGAAGGACTCATTTTAGGTGCAGATAACTGATCTGTTTGATGTGGGGTAGTGCTGGGCTGGGGGACTATTGGCGGCCAGCATCAAAGGGAGCATTTACCACAAGGAGAAGCAGGAGAGGATCAGCACGCCAGAAGAGGCAGAAGACACTATGATTTTGTCAGTATGCAAGCTTCGGGGGTAAAGGTGGAGCTGGGACACTAATATGTGTTTACCTGTCCATTGAGAATGCAGAATTCCTGAAGCTTGTTTGGTTTTAAGAATCTTCTGAAAATTAACCTTATCCTTCTTAGAAGAGTCACTGCATATGATCTTTTCTGCTTCCAAGCAGAAACCCATCTTCACATATTAACACCTCAATTTTAAGGTTAATCTGCCTGGGTTAGTCTCCTGGAAGGGGTTAGTACTCCTTCATTTCTGGGGTAGCAATAGTCTCCCTACCGAATAGAGACCTCTGATTTGTCTCCAGAAGACCGAAGTGTTTCACTCCCTGATGGTGCCTGACCCTCTCCAGGAGAGGACTCAGTCTTACCTCTCTTGGGGTCCTCCTGTTCAGACAACTTCCCCTCCCTACTGGCTCTCTGGCTGGGCGCATCTGCGCCTGAACCATCCATAATCACCTATCGCTTTATTCCCCAGAAGGAAGCCCCCAGTGGTCCTGCGGGCCAGAAGGTGCGGGGAGCCAGAAGCCAGGGCTGGCGAACGTGCAGATAGAGATGAAGCAAAACTCCAAGTGAGTGTTCTCAAAAGCTCCACTAACACGTTCTCTTAGCACTAGCAGGAGGGAAAATGAAGAGTTTTGGGTTTGGGAACAAAGGTCAGATGATCTTAAGAAAAATTCTGGCTAAAGGAAACATCTAGAAACTTAAAGTTTCCCTTTGTTCCTCCTCCATCCTCACTGCTAGTAAGGAGTGAGAGCCCCGTTACCACAGAAATGCAGGGGTGAATGGCTGTCCTCACCTGCAGGACTTCTTCCTCACGCAGAAGACCCCGGGAGTGAGGATTCGCTTTACATAAGAAAAACACGTAGCTTCCGACATTTATAAATGCAGTCTATAAAGACAATGACAGAACTGGTCAAACTGGTTGGAAGTAGGACCTTTCTCTAGTTCTGTGACCTTGTCTGGAGCCAGATGTGACTGTAAAGAGGGGGTCAAATGAAATGATTAAGTGATGACAGAAGCCAAGTCTAGTCTTTCCAGTGGCTGTAAGGAAGGGTCGCCAAGAACTGAGCAGACTCACAGGCCAAGCACTTTGGGAACCTGAGAGGGAGCTGCCAGCGAGCTCAGGCAGAGAGCCATGATTCCACAGCACTTCGGGAAGGAGAGAGACTGGGGCATGTTCTTCCTGACTAGACGCTAGTAGCAAAACAAACAACGAGTGGGGAGCCAGGAGGCCTGGGGTCTAGTCCCAGCTGCACCACTAAGCAGCAGCAGCCCTGAGCCAGTCACCTAATGCTTCTGAGATTCAGGCTGCTCCTCTGTAAAAGGCGGGGTTACGTTAGGTCATGGATGGCAGAGGGGTGGCACACACACCCTTACCTCTCTCATGCCTTCGGTAGGGGTTACTGTTCAACCACATCACTGTTTGGAAGTTTTTCTACAGCATTCTAGACAGGCACTTCCAATCAGAGTTGGTACACAAGCTGAAATCTACTTATTCTCCCCCAATCTGATGATCTCGAAAGGCCTTTCCAGCTCTTAAATTGAAGCTGGAAGGTTCCAACTTTCCAAGTAAGAGACAACCATTTATCTCATTTAGTCATGACTCACTCAAAAAAAGGAAATGGAAATTTAAGATCATACTTTCCTACACTTCTCCTCCCCACCCTGAGGCTGAGTAGGTTCTCCCTGAGGTCACACTGTCCTTCTTTGTGCGCCAGAGATTTTCATAATTAAGCTTCGCCCTCTGTCAGTTCACCCAGCATGACAGTGTCCCAGACCGCAGCTCCCTTTTATCTAAAATAGCCCACACTTAAAAACTTTATATTTGTCTTCAAGGAATCTACAAGGAAAAGAATTATCTCAGGTTGCTAAAAGCCAAGAATCAGAAGAGGAGGCATTTAATGATTCCATTTGCTGCTCGCCAAAGCCAACCACATTAACAGTTCTTCGCCCTGGCAGGAAAGCAATGGCGCAAACAGTACCTTGATGGGGACAGCTTCAGGAATCCAGGTGGTTGCAACTGTGTTTTATTGAAAGAAGCAGTGAAGTGGTTAACATGGGGCCCACCTCACAACCCACCCCTCACCCCCAAACTGCTACAGGGGCAAGCCTTAGGCCAGGGAAGCACATGGTGGGGTGGGGGGTGAGGTGGGGGGGAAGAGAGAGAGTTGGAATTTGAATTATTTCCCCCAGGGCAAGGAAGGAAGAAGGGAGAGGCAGGTGCCACCATGATGAGGTGGTGGGGCATCTGCTGCTCCCGGCCTCAAGTGGAGACCTCCACAGAAGCGTCAAAGTGGACTGGCACATACGGGTTCCCCTCACAGGCCACGATGATGTGTCTCTCTTTCTGGCTGGTCCGGTATGCACAGTTAGGGTACTTGGAGCCGCTCGTGAGGCGGCAGTCTGTAATGTGCATGCTGGAGCTGCTCTGGTAGCAGTTGGACTGCCCGTTCTTGCAGGTTATGTTTTTCTGGAGGCAGATGGCCTGGACATCTGCCAGGGGCTCATGCACAAAGGTGTTCACGGGCTTGCACCATCCCTGTGTCATATTCCGTCGCTTCATCATTTGGTTGCAGTAAGTGGAGTTACTGCTGGAGGTGCTGCCTGAGTCCATGTGCTGCCGCTCAAACTTCATGGCGGGTGATTCCTTGCCGAGGGAAAGCTGGACACACCCCAGCACCAGCAGCACCAGGACCAGCAGTGGGAACAGGATGAGAGACTTCTCCTGAGCCATGGTGGCCTCACTACCCCTGAGGAGCCTAGCTGGGAAAGAGAGAGGAGGAAAAGCATTGCCTTAGAAACAGAAGCTCCGCTCCCACCTGTAGCTTCTCACCTTACGGTCTCCCTTCCACCTTCCAGTCAGCCAGAAAGACGTCCCTCTTCCTGCGTGCTTTTCCAAGTAATGAGACACTCACATGTACTCTTCTCCAAGAAGATTTGACTCCCACTCGCTACAGAGAGGCCATCCTCCCCTCCGGGGGTGACCCCAGATGTGACCCCAAATCCTGAAAGTCCTGCCTTTGAATACCGGAGGAGTTTTTATCGCAAATACATTTGAAAAGTAAAATATGTTTGTACCCAGTGATCAAATGTGTGCTCAAAAGTGGCTCCTTAGAAGATCCTTTTGAATAAACCATTAAATAAATAAGACAAATTTTGAATTGGCCAAACTACACCCCTGAGATACCAGCAAGTAGTCAATGAGGATCACGGTTGACAGAGCCCTGTTGTCCTACAACACAAGGGAAACTCAGCCCGGTGCCTGACACTGGCATCATAAAGGGACGCTATTGTATTCAAAGAGAGATGCTCGCCTCCCCCAACCTAGGCGCTGCTTCTTCTCCAGCGCCGTGGGTTCTCTGCAGCTCTGCCCGCAGCTGATGTTTGCCTGGCCCAAGCTTTCTCAGTTTTAGCCTCACCCAGCTGGCTCCCTCCTCTACAACCCTCAAACAGAAGCAGCTCCTGAGACCACTTCTTGGGCTGCTTACCTGGGTCTCTAGCTTGGTCTCTGAGACAGCTGAAAGGCCAGTTTCTGCAATCACTCAATCCCTGGAATGCGGACCTTAAACAGATTACAAAGGGGTTTGGCCTCCAAGAAGAGAAGGGTGGGAGGAGCATCTGGGTCTGAGTCCAGAGGAAAACAAGGCCATTGTGAGAAAGAGATAGGGAGTCACCCAGGCCACCCTCTTTTCAGGGCAGCTGGGGAGAGTGAGTCTTTGCCCACAGGAACCTTTCTTACCATATGAATCTCATCTGTCTGCTGGTTCACAAGTAACAGCAGAGAAAGCCACTACAGCACCCATGTGTGAACCCCAACTGAGTCCCTGTTACCTCTTTGAGGGCCATTTTCACCAAATAGCCCCTGGAGGTGTAGCAAAGTACACTTAACATGTGATCACAGGAGAGAGAGGAAAAGGGAGATCCTCTCTCTCCCCAGGAGTCCTGGAGCACCTTTGGCTGTGTTAATGCAAAATAACCAATAACCATTCTATAGATAAGAGAGATAGGTGAGTTTCACTTGAGCCAGAGGGAGGATTATAACGCCAGGAAGAACTTTTCCAGAAAGGAAGAAAGTGTTCCAGAGAAGCGTGGTTTTCAGTACAGCCTAATATCTCTTCAGAACAAAGAATATACATTAAACACACCTGGGATATGTATTCATCAAAGTTTCAAAGAGATGTTCAGCTGCAAATTAGCAGATCAGCACGATCCTGAAGTTGGGGGGTGGGGAGGGACAGACAGGGACAGGAGGATGGTGCATTCTTATCTTAAGAGAGCACATTCTTTACCGTAATGGTTAAAGCAGATGTACAATGTATGTTTGATAGGCCATAAGTCAGGCTTCTTTAGTTCGAGTCCAATTAGTCTTGAACCCGAATAGTTATCCCATATCCCCAATATGTGAACATCTCTTGTCAGATGGAATTCCACATTTCTCCCCAGCACCTCTCCTAGGGGCAGGGGGCAGGGGTGTCCAGCTGTCCACAGCTGGAAGGCTTCTCAGATCTGGAGGAGGGAGAGAGTGCCCGAATAGGGAGGAGAAGAAGGAAGCCTCCACAAGACATCACCCAGTTCTGGCCACCCAGTTCAGACCACACTAGTTCTTATCTACAGTGACCACTTATCTGGTAGGTGAGAGTTGAGTAGAAGAACTAAAGATAAACCAAAACCCAAATACCTTTTGAGGAAAGATAGAGAACATCATATTTCTCATCAGCAGCATCTCCTCCTAGAAAGGGATCTGTTTTTACTGGGTGACAATTTTGATACCTCCGGAGTGAGAATTATCAAAATATCGCCCTATGCTCTGGATTTAAGCTGTCTCAATTCAAATTCTGGTTTAGCACCTTAAGAGCTGGGCAAGTTACAGAACTTAATTTATTTCCCTGTTCCTCAGTTTCCTCATCTTAGAAATGGGGATAATAATATATACCTCTTAGATTTGTTTTTAGGAAGAAATAAGGTAAGATGTGCACAGGGCTTAGAATAGTGCTTTGAAAGCATCTATAAATGTAAATGCTGGGTCTCATGATTGTTCCCCCAGGGTGGTGTTGATGATGAGGATTTTTAGGCTGCTTAATTTTAAAATGGTTTATGATGAGGATTTTAGGCTGGTTACTTTTAAAACTACAGATGAGAAGCAGGCTCCGAGGACTGGAATTTTGCTTGCCCTTCTGAGAGACATTTGCATTTGTGAAGGAAGGGGGGGTAACCTTGTAGGGACCGGAAATTGGCCACCCCAGGATATGTCTCTTTGGCATCAGGATTGTTTTGGGCTGATTGCTTTCGATAAACTGGGACAGGGAAGGAGGCTCTGGAGAATGGAACTTGCCCTTGTTGGGACACATTTACATTTGTAAGGTAAATCTCTATCTGTAAAAGGTGCCTCCCTCTCTGTACCAGGAAGAAGAAGAGAGATGACCTTATCCCTAGAAATTCTTAATGGGGAAGGCAAGAACTTAAGTTGGTTGCTGTCTGGCAATCTCATGTAATTGGTTTAGGGTGGTGGCGTCTAACCTTTCTAACCTTTACTTAATCCGATTTGATTCTTGTCTAAAAGTCATGGGATCACCCAATGACCAGACCCCACCTGCACTGATACCATTTTAACTTTTTTTTCATGTTCTTTCCTTTGTCTTCGTAAAGAGATGACTCACATACCTATGCCTTAAATTTAGCCCTAACCCTCAACTCGGGGCAGCAGCAGGAGCTCTGACTGCCCGTGGGTCCAGTCCCCATGCACCAGCTCTGCCTGCCCATGGGTCCTGTCCCCATGCCAGCGGGGGCAGCAGCAGCGGCCCTGCCTGCCCATGGGCCCTGTCCCCATGCCAGCGGGGGCAGCAGAAGCAGCGGCAGCAGGAGCTCTGACTGCCCGTGGGTCCTGTCCCCACGCACCAGCTCTGCCTGCCCATGGGTCCTGTCCCCATGCCAGCGGGGGCAGCAGCAGCAGCCCTGCCTGCCCATGGGCCCTGTCCCCATGCCAGCGGGGGCAGCAGAAGCAGCGGCAGCAGGAGCTCTGACTGCCCGTGGGTCCTGTCCCCATGCACCAGCTCTGCCTGCCCATGGGTCCTGTCCCCATGCTAGCGGGGGCAGCAGCAGCGGCTCTGCCTGCCCATGGGCCCTGTCCCCCTGCCAGCGGGGGCAGCAGAAGCAGTGGCAGCAGAAACTCTGACTGCCCATGGGTCCTGTCCCCACGCTATTCTACTCTCTAAATAAAAGAGCACTGCTGCCAGATCTTAAGAGTCTAAGAAATCTTTCTTTCGACTCCTCGGCTCACCGACCCCGCATCATTTCAATCCCGCCAAGAAGTCTGTTTCAATAACACCGGGTGATCTCTGAATTGCTTTCTACAGGGGATGGAGTCAAGGAACTGCCGGGCTTTTGCTTTACTAAAAACCTGGGCTGAAAATAGCAGGCAGTTTTGAAGCCCTGGAGAGGGAAAGAGAGGGGAAGAGGAGAGAAGAGAGGGAGCTTGGAGGGAAGAACAGAATTCTTTAAAGGGAAATTTTAACATTGTTTTGCCATGCGATATCCAAGAAATTTTTAGTAAAGTAACATTATTTGTCAATGTATATGAATTTGGGAGAAGTGGGGCTAAGGAGGACATGGTGTGGCCGAGCTCTTAGTTTCATGTCCTCACAGTTCACCCACCACCCCACCCTCCATCCAGGTTTTGTTTGTCTCTTAGTCCTTAGATAGTACTCATATCATCTGGAGTGGTGTTGGGTGGGAAACTTTTCCTCTACCCACTTATGTTCTTGGTCAGGAGGCCTGCAAATTAGCTTACAAAAGACAGGTGAACAGGAGAATGGACAAAGTTTATTCACATGCATATGAAAGCACACAAAAAAAGTTGTTCCCTGAATAGCTAGGGATAAGGGTTTATATACCAACTTAATAGGGGAAAGAAGGGAGGTGGGTGTGAATAGGGGCTCTATAGAAAATAAATGGATTTTTTTAAAGAAAGATTAATGAGCTTTTAGGGGAACAAATGGGAGGTAAGATAGTTTGTGATGCTGTTTGTTTATGCAAAGGCGAGTGGTCAATATTCTTGCTGGCTGTAAAACTCCCAGGAGAGGGGATTTATGACAGCTTCACTCTCAGAAGACACTGCCTTTAGTCTTCTGCATCTGCATCTGCATGAAAAGGCTTCTTCTGCATCTACTGGGTCTCAAATGTCTTCAGTTTAAAATAACCTTCAATCGACTCTGGGGATCTGAGTAGGTCCCTACAGTGGTCAATTTAGAATTTGTTCATTCACTCATTCATTCATTCATTCAGCAGTGGGGGCACAGAGATAAATAAGTCACAGGGCCTGCCCTCAAGGTGCCTGATGGGACAGTTTGTAGTATTAGTCAGGTGAGTTCCACCAAGGTGTTGGGCATGGCTACACAAAAGTAGCCATTCTTTTGGTACCTTTCTAGTGTCAGAAGAATTTTAGGGAGTTTGTCCAAGAAGGAGATTTCAGAATCACAATTCAGATATGAATAGGCCTTCTGCAACCCGGATAAAGTTCTTCAATAGCCTCCTTCCCTCGGCATCCCTAACTATAAGAAACCATGTTGCCTATTTGTGCATGGCAATCCAGACAAGCCCTTGGGGTTTTAATTCACTTCAAGGGAACCATCAAAAACCCATCTTTACTAGAGCCTTACCCTTGACCCAGTTGCAAAGGCATGTCCCCCTTGTCTTAGGGCAATAGCTGCCACTGTGAAACGTATTGATGCTTCTGCTGAACTAGTTCTAGGCTGCGCGCTGGACTTCATGGTTCCTCATGCAGTGAGATGTTACTACTGACTGAGAACACACAACACTTTTCCACCAGCCAAGTAACCCCTTAGAAGATTCTATTACTGTCTCTCTCTCAAATACTGTCAATCTTGGAAACACCTGAATCCTGCCACTCTCCTGCTCCTACCGGAAGAAGGGGAGCTTCATGATCGTCTTATCACAGGTAGGGAAAATTCTGCATCTCACTCAGATTTATTCAAGACTCCTCTTGAGAAGCCTGACCTAATATTACTTGTTGATGGATCATACCTCAAAACTGAACCGAGGTTAACAAGTAGGACATGCTATCACTAACCTAAACTCATCAGAATGTAGTCTTCTATTTGAGGTAAATCAGCCCAGATGGCAGAACTTATTGCACTTACAAGAGCTTCTCAACTAGCCGAAGACCAGAGAGTAGATATATACAGACAGCAGGTATGCTTTTGGAGAAGCATCTGACTTTGGGATGCTTTGGAAATAAGCATCAAAATGGACAGCAAGTTAAGGAACTTTTAGATGCAGTCCTACTTCCTAGAGAGGTGGCTATTACAAAGAGTGAGGCCCACATTAAAAGAGATGATATGGACACCTATCTAATTCCTGGGAGGATTTTTTAATCTGCTTGCTTATAATTCTTATTATTTCCTATAGACCTTTTGTTGTCATCCACCCATAATGAGCCTTTTTCTTTTTTCTTCCTTCTTTATTATAAATGTTAGATCAAAACATACTCATTCTAAAAAGGTAAATATGTGATGTGATGGATGTTTTAATTAACTCAGTGGGGGGAATCCTTTTACAATGTATACATATATCAAATCATCATGTTGTACACTTTAAATATCTTACAATTTTATTTGTCAATTATACCTAAATAAAGCTGGAAAAAAACCCCAAAAAGAACAAACTCATTCTAATGCTATTTTTAGATTATCCCAAACAGTAGCCACTGCCCTCAATCTTACTGACTGCTAAATAAGCCACCCACCACCAGATCACCATGATAAAAACCTCTGGGCAATTCTGATAGAATTAAACGAGACCCTAGGCAATCACAGCTGATGGTGTTTCCACTTTTGCACTTGCACTTACATGGACAATTGACTCTAAATAAGCCAACCTGTGACTTTGCCAGTATCCCTCTCTCCCAGAAATAGAGCCAATTATTACAATCTATTGTTCAGACCCTAATTCTAAATTTGAATTCAACAACCTCCCTGGGGCGATGAGCTGAACTCTTGGCAGCTGGAAGAGATTAGTAACGATCCAAATATGGAAGTAAGGCCTTGGTTCTAACTTCGTGTCACGGACAACACCTTTTTTCCTGGATCTCCCTGTGCTTCTACTGATACTTCTTCCTTTGTGGTCAGGATGCCTGATCCTGCTTGCTCAGACTAAAACCTCGTGAACCTTAGGTATGGTATTCCAAGACTTGTCTGTACACAGAGACCCTAAGCCTATAAATCACCAAGCCTGGAAATTCCAACTCAGACATGAGGGCCAAACTGAGGCCATTTTGGATTATTCAGGCACACTACTTGAGTGAATCACTGACTCAATTTTTATGTGAGTAAATCAGAGCAGTGTTCCTGTCAGTGGGAATCATACAAATAGAAAAGACTTTAAGAAACCTATCACTAACTCTGGTAGAAGTTATTAATGATACCTCCTCTGCCCTAAGTGGAATACATTGGTCTCAATTCATTAGCACAAGTAGTGATAGACAATCGTATTGCTTTAGAAGTTTTGTTGGCTAGTCATGGTGATGTCTGTGCCATTGCTAATACTTTTTGTTGTAGTTGTCAATGAAACAGGTATGTTATAACAGGCTATATATTGCCTTAAAGAAAAAGCAATTTGGGTGTCTAAGGTCGATCCTCATTGCCTATAGAATTTGTTCTCTTAGCCTGGGTTGAGCATTCGGGCTTCCTGGTTTCAAAGCATCTCACAGGGGCTCTTCTTGTTTTAGTGATAATGGTCATTATGCTGGTCTGTTGCATTGAGTCTTAAAAGCTTCTATGCAGCCCCTGTCTTATCAGATAATCACCATGATGATACAACAGAAAAATCAAGAAGATCTTGCAATACAGTTAACCGTGAAGATAACTGAACAATTTCTGAGCAGTGAAGATCTGGAATCCTAGCTTTCCCCAAATTCGTCAACCTCTTGGAAGCGAGAGAATAAACAAAAAGAGAGACTGAGAGACTGAATGTACAAACAGACAATAGGCAGACTATATATAAAGATAAACCTGTGACCCACAATCTGTAGGAGCGGCAGGACGCACAGTAAGCCCAGGAAGCCAACCCACTGTATACAGCAAACCGTCCAGGAAGCCAAACAATAACCACTGAAGCATTTGGCCCAAAACAATTGAAACTTGATTAATAACTGAAAGCCTCTATGATTTTTGTCCCCACTTCCCCAACTTAGGACAAACCAGAGAAAGCCAAATACGTACCCCTAACCAATTACATAGATTGTTCTGCTCCTAGTTAGCCTGCCTCCAGCTTCCCCAAGCCAACAGCCTCCAATCAGGGCACACTGGAAGGCTTCCCTTTCCTCCACCACAAAGCTTTCCCACTTCCCTGCCTTTGAGTCTCTGCCAAACACAAGTGATGGTGACTGACTTTCTTCTTTAGCAAACTCTGATGAAGTAGACTTTATTCTCATTTGAGTGATTTTGTTCATTTCCACACGATCTTCAAAAGAGCAAAGAAAGGGGTATGTACAGGGTATGGATGTTTTTACATGGAAAGGTCAGAAAATCTCAAGGATGTTCTGCATTAGTCTGGCTCAACACAGCCCCTGAAACACTCAAACACACACACACACACACACACACACACACACACACGTGATCATATTCCGGAGTTTGTTGTCAAATCCAGAAACTAAGGAAGCAGAAAAAAATCAGAACAGGAAAAGACAGAAGAGTGGAGGCAGGCAAAGGGAGGTAAGCAGTGATTGAAAGGGGAGGGAAGAAAGGGGAAAGGATGGAGGAAATACCCAAAAATATATCTGAGCCAGTGCTGCCCCTGATATCCCCTGCCTTGGTTTCCTACAACCCAGATGCCCACAGAGGTGAAATAGGGTAACTGACAAGATGACATCCTTCAACTCATTTTTTCTATCCAGAAACCCCACATGTGATTCTAAACCCAAGATTTAAGATTGGTTTTTAAAGACTGATTAGATGGGCAGTGGAAGGGACAGGGGTGGAGGTTAAGCTGAGATAATGAGCAGCACTTCTCCCACCTCTAGCTCTTCCTGCCTTGTAGAAAGCTCCAGCCTGGCCTGCAGGGTCCTCTTCCCTAACTCTGCACTTAAGCCACTCCCTGGCTAATGCTGACCTATGACAGGTCATGGAGCAGAACTGGGCAAGAGGCTACAGGGAGGGAGGCAGAGTCAGACATCTCCATCTTAAGGTCCCTCTCACTGGGGATCTTCATCTCCCCTCCCTCCCATTGGCCTCAGACACTAAAAGAGTTTGGGACACATATACTTAAGAGTTGATTCTCAAGCAATTACATGTGAGAAAGTATCCTGAGTCTGAGGGCATGTGGGGGCATGTGAGGAGGAGAGACGCAACTTCAGCAAAGATGAGCTTTGTCTTCAGGCCTCACCCTCTCCTTTCTGAGCTTCTTCCCCTTCTCATCTCTTCCATACATCTGTGCAGAATCTCCTTGCCCCTTCTCTTCTTTTGTCTTCCTCCCTAGGAATCCAAAACAATTTAGAACCTAGTTAAATTCAATATATATTTTAAGCTTTATTTCCAAATGTAGAATAAAATGTTTTATCTTCTTATTAAAGCACTTCATTTGATGAGGGTGGATATAGATGGCTTTTATTTTGGAAAAGAGGGAAGCATTTCCTGGCACCCTGAAATCTCTCAGAGGAGCCTGTTGATAAGCCTGAGTGTGAAGGGGATGGTATGTGGGGAGGACATCCAGTTGCAGGCAAATGAGAAACAAGGGGATTGTGTCAAGTGAGTTCCAGAAGGTATGAGTGCAACTGACATACCCAAGCCCTTGGGATCCTGAGCTCATCCTCCTAAAGAAGTGACTGGACAGTGTCAGATTTGCTATGACTTTTTCCAAAATGCCCGCTACTCTTTCTGTCACTGAGCATGGCTCAGCTATCCAGGTCTCAAGTCTGAATTCTTGGGAGGGGTGGAGGGAGGACAAACCTGAGTGTTCAAATCAGGCTCCCAAGACCACATCACATCATGAAGCCACATCAGTGCCTGACCTGATTCTGGGCATGCACCCAGGGAAGTGCATTTTTGCCCCCTCCACAGGATGCCTGGAAATTAATCTCTGAAACCCTCCTAAATTCGAAGGCAGCCCAGGAAGATCAGTACTATACTGCATCGATGGGCTCTGGGCCCAGAGGAGCCTCCTTAGAGAAAGGCTGTGGCAAGGGCCACCCACACATCCCACTCTCTTCTCTCAAGTAGTGCACCTGCCACTCGCTCAAGTTATGCCCAGTTTTCCTGACTCCTCTTCAGGAGTGAGGCTCTGAACTCTCTGGAGTTAACCCCATGGAGACAAAGGGCAATTTGGATTTCAGTATCTCTGGAGACTTTATGCTTTTATGAAGCTAAAGAGTCTCAGGAGACAAATAGTGTGGCCCCTCAAGCCTGTCACAAAGTTATGCATTTATAGGTCTCAATTGAGAAACCCCTCCCCCAGTGAAACATCGTAAAATCTTGTCCCAATTTCAGCTTACTGCCCACAGCCCAACATTTCACCTCATATGACAAATCAACTACAAAAGGGCAAAACGCTTTTAAGGATGTGCAGGTTATTATTCCTGTTGATTTTTCCCATTTTATAAGATTTCTCTTTCTACTCATTACAAATCCATATATCCAACAGCATAAACTGGGAAAGAAAGGGGTTCTAACATCTGAGCCCTTGTTTTAGGCCAACCAGGCACAGGTTGCACTTTCCCAGAGGGCGGATCTGACTTGCCTGTGAGCCCACCAGGTGTAGTCAATAGCCTGGTCTCCAGAACACACAGAGATGGGCCCTATCTCCCGCCTCCACCTCCCAGCCTCCCAACACTATCATTGTTTTCCTCAGCCCCAAGGACACAGCGCAATCTCCATATGTCCTTTCCCACTCCCAAGTACCAGCCCTGGGTCTTCTTAAATGGAGGTCAGATATTGCCCAGGTGTCTGAAGAAAAATGGAGACTTGAGTGTCTGTGATTCCTGATTAGAGAAGACCTAGTTCCCCGTTAACCTGTGTTGTTCAGTGGTCTCTTGGTTTCATCCATTTTAGGGGAGTCTGCCCTTCCCTTGCTTTCCCTCTAGAGCAAGCATCAGTGCCCCCATCCCTTACCTAAGGGATAGCCCACTTGTGCCAGCTCTTCTGATAGTTTATCACGAAGGCGTTAATTATTGACCAGGACTCCTGTGTGAAAGACAACAGCTCATAAGAGAAGAAGGCAGGGCACATGAGGGATCTGGGAGCCTGGAATCTGCAGTCTCCACCAGAGTCACAGACTTTGAGAAGCACGCAGCAATTAAATCATAGACTTTGTTTACAGCCCAAGTGCTGAGAATTCTCCCCAACGGAAGCAGCCCCTAGAGTTGTGATACAAACCAGACCTTGATAAGAGGTCTAGTAGAGGTGAGGTCGGGGTTATTAGGAAACAATAGGAAGAAAGGGATGGAATGGGGGGAATCAGGGAAGGTCTCAGAGCAAAGATGACCTTGGGGAGGACTTTCAAGGATAAACAGATTTTTTTTTCATTAGAGGGGGGGAAGGAAAATTCAGAAAGAAAGAGAAGTAGACACATGGCAGAGCACTGTGTATTTAGAAAATGGCAAGTTCCTCCGTGTAGCTGGGAGGAGGTAGGGGATGGCACAGAAAAAAATTTAGGCCAGAGTAGAAGTATCTTGAAGGCCATGCAAAAGACTCATTATGTAAAATATATAGACAATTACCTTGAACTCAAGGAATAGAAAGACACAAGCAATGGAAGAGACCTTCCTCCAGGCCTCCCGTTATACACGTGAGGAGATTGAGGGCCAGAGCAGACCCAAAGTCAGACAGCACCTTAGCAGCAGAAGCAGAAATCATCCTCATGTCCCTGACTTCCAGCACAGCATTCTCAGTACACTATGCTTCCTGATGTGTCATGGGTGGGGAACCTACCCCTGGGACATGCACCCAAAGGGCAGCAATCTCTCATTGTGAAATGTGAAATCCTCCTTGTGTTTCTCATTGGGAAATCTCTCACTGTGATTTCTTCTTCTAGCTCTTGATTTCCCCCAGAATTCTCCCACGGCTCTTGCAGCTGTGAAGCGTGGTAAGAGAAGGCAGAGATGGCTCTCCTGCTGACCCCATCTGTGGAGTTAGGTGTTGGGGGCACACACTGAGGTACAATCAGGGGCACTTCCATTGAAGCAGCTGGAGTGAGGGGAGAGAAGGCAGGGAGGGGATGAATGGGTCAGGCTCCCAGCTCTCCGGTCCCTGGGGCCCATTTGTTGATTCCACTGGGGACCCTGGGGGAAGGAGAGCCTATTTAGGAAGAAGAGGTCCCCTGGAGGACAGCTACTCCAAGCAGTCCCTCTCTTTAAGAGGCTTCACATGCTGGCTCTGTCAAGGAAGCAAGGTCTTGAGAAAAGTCATTTGCTTAGAAAGTTCTCTGGTCATGCATCTTCCATCTCCTGCTTTCCTCTTTGTGTTAATCAGGACTATAACAATGAGCACAACAGTGCTTCCTTTCCCACAGGTGGAAGATATTGTCAAGGGACAAACCACGTGGATGGGGAAGTCTATGCAGCATATCAAGTGAAGAGAGTTCAGCCATATCCAGTTTAGGAGACAAGTCTCAGATCTACTTGCGTGGAGCCTTTTATCAAGTCACTAAGTCCAACCTTCTCCTGATCCCCTGGCTGACCTGCTTTGAGCTTTGGATCAAACTGTTGAGTTGCCTCATTGCAATCTGATCTGGCCTGAGTTCCCCTCTCCCTGAATATGGGTCTCACTTCTCCAGAAAGGCTAATCTTTAATACCTCTCCGCTTTTCTGGTTCTGCCCCCAAACTCAACTCTACTTTTTTTGTTTTTCTTTTAGTCATTTTATCTCTCATAGAGGAGCCAGAAAAGCAGACCTCAGCAGGGCTATGGTTGTTTTATATGAACAGAAGATGGTATTTCACCCTCAGCATACATATGGGCGAGGAAAATTCCGGTGCCAGACAACACAACTATCTCCACAAACTGGGCCACAAGGCCTCTGTGGGTAGATCATGCAGTGACTGTAGCCAAGTCATGTGACCTCCCTGGGCCTTGGTATTGTTTTCTGAGAAATGAAAGAGTGAAGAAAGATGATCTCTAAGATCACTCCAAGTTAAAACATTGTTTGTTTCTTTCAAAGTATTTTCTTCTTCTAAAAATCTTCCTCTCCATACCTCCCAGGAAGAAAGGTGGGATCTCAATATGAGATCTATTCCTTAAGACTTCCACGTTTTTCACAGAGCCAAAGTCGCTTTCGTGGCTGTATTCACCACTGCCTTTGGTCTAATTGAAAAGCAAACCAATTCACACACCTTAGTCCAGAAACACAGACACACAGAAAGGGAGAGGAAAGCTCTTACCTACAACCACCATCACCCCCCTCCTGAATTCCTGTCAAAGATCAGCAAGAAATGGATTTTTATCCCAATATGGATTTTGCACATTTTCACATTAAACTACAAACTACAAACTCCTATCTTTCCATGAAAAAAATTAAATGTCTTCAGCATAGTCAAATTTGAAGAGTTTAAAACTTTAACTGTATTGCTAAGGTGGCATAAAGCACAAGCATTGTAATTTAATATATTAATATATTATATGCTGATTTCTATAATAGGAAGGAACAATTTCGTCCTGTCTGTGTTTCCATCATCAATTCACTGGGTAAATAGAAAGTTTCAGGAATAGTCTTATCAGAGACCCAGAAATTAGAGATAAATCTAGTAAAAGAGTTTATAATACAGAATTAGGGGGTACTCATTGGGGGTATTGATTGGGAACAATCAACAGTCAGTAATTATTCATCAGGAAGTTCCAATATATGTTTCTCTAAGTTACCAAGGGACCTAGTTGGCAAGTATTAAAAAAGATACAAAATATTAAAATTCCTGAGAGATAAGTAGAAACATATTACTTGTAATTTCGTCACCTAGAAAAACATTATTAACATTTTAGTATGTAATTCTTTACACTTTTGTCTATGCTATGTACATATTTTTATAATATATTGGATAGTATATACTGCTCCAGATTCTGCATTTTCTCTTAAAATGCATCTGGGCTCCTGGCAATATTCAATTTCTTAACCTGGATAGTGGTGAACAAAGATGTGTTCACTTTGGATTATTTATTGAGCTAGATACTTATGATTTGTGCCTTTTTCTGCATGTATGTAATATTTCAACAAAAAAAGTTTACTGAAAAAATACATCATAAACACTTATTCCAAGTCGATAAATCTGCATTATTCTGAATGGCTCTAAGTCTTTCATGTTATGGATGTATCATGATCCATTAAATAAATTCCCTGTTGTTGGACATTTATAACATTTGCCACTTTTTACGTATACACATTCTAAAATAAAAACCCTCTACATTTGCATTTATACTCTTGTATCATAAGTTGGGTTCTACAACAAATAGAAACTGAGATAAATATCTGCATTCAGGAAGTTTATTGGGG